TTATATAAAAAACGCATTTATTAAATGCGTTTTTATACAAAATGAATCTGAAATATTTTTTTCGAAAACTGTAATTTACTTATTACTGTTTAATAATATTATTATTATTAATGTGAATATTATTTTTATATAATGAATTCGTTAACTTATATTATTATATAATTCTGATTTAAAAATAAACTCGCTATAAACAATTTTCATGATACGGTCGAATCTTTTTTTTTTATTTTATTTTATTTTTTTTAAAGGAAAATTATTCTGTAGCTTTATAAAAACTTAAATTTAAACGCTAATCTTTCCAACCTTTCAACATGGTGATGAGTCATGTGATCTGGGACCCACTGTATCAAAGATGTCGACGCTCAGTATCCATGCTGTATGTACTTATACTGTAGTCATAACACAAGATGATTGAGCCGACTTTTGTATGCAGAGTAGTAGTTTTAAAAATCGATAACAGACAGAGAGAGAGAGAAAGAGAGAGAGAGAGAGAGAGAGAGAGAGAGAGAGAGAAAATATTAGTACCTCTGTCTAATATTAATGTCGTGAAACATGGGATAGTATTCACAGTCTATTTTTATTTTAAAACTGTCTTAAATATATAATGACTACATTTACATGGTATACTTAATCGGTTTGATAACATCCATAGTTATGAAATTGACTAATCATAGTCGTTCTTCCGAAGAATGGTGAAACAAGTGATTTTGACAAGTTGTTCGTAACCCTTTTCATTTATTTGAATAAAATTCATTTTTGGCAATCGGCTATGACAGCTGGCGATATTATGAACAGCCAAGATATTTAACCTAGGAAAGCGATTGCAGCACAATTTGTCATTTGTTTACGCAATCACAGTATAAGAATATATAGTAGGAAGGACAAGTAGCGTCAACAGTTTTAATCTTTTTCAAACGAAATTTCAGAGTTGCCATATCTTTGGTGACCAAATATTTATAGCAGTAGGAACCACCGCCTATACTCAATAAAAAAAGGAGATTAAAAAATCTTAACTTTTCAGAATCTTCCACCGAATCAGTTAGATACATCCACAGTCATGTTGCTTCATAAAATTAATTGCTGTAATCAGTTATTCAGGAGACATGGCAGTGTCTCGTCGCTAAGCAAGCGCAGTATATACAGTAGCGTAACTCTGTCGGCATGAACGTATAAATATCTAGAGTTTTCAGATGCGGGAGGTGAAGCTTTTAAGGGAGGAGAGGCCACCATATTGTCTGGCGACACTGATTCTGCTTTTTATCGATAAAATAATAAAGTATAATAAATATAAACTGTGGCTGCGTTCTGTTTCACGCATTTGTTCTTGTTATTTACTGAATGTTAAACAAGGATAAATGATACATCATCCGTTTCATGCATGAAACGGAATGCAGCCTGTGTGTGTGATATCGCTGCTGGATACCGTGACGAGAGAGAATAATAGTTGCTTTCCATTTACACCGATTTTCAGATAATTCTTAATTGTGACGTCATAATTCAGTTGAATGCATGTTCTTTTTACATGACAAATGAGATTTAATTGAATTTTTGCCTATAATCTGCACAAGATTGAGATCGTATGTTTTAGTGAGTTTCGTAAACTTACTTTAAAAGTCAGATTCGAATCTGTGTTGTCATGTGATAACTTTTTATCAAACTTAAGCAAATAATGACGTTATTAATCTGAGTTTGAAATACTCAGCTCACTTTAGACTCAGTTTCACGTGTGTGCAAATGAAAAGCAACTAATATTGTGCATACGAAATTTTATATTTTTCTAAAATAAAACATCAACAATGCCACATTATGTTGCAATCGGCTGTATCAATAAAAGCTATAAAAAACTAAGGAGTAAATTAATCAAGAGCAAAATATTAAAATAAGTTTTCATCGATACATATTTATAACCTACAATAAAAATAAAGATTCAATATAAAATAAATAATAAAAAAGAGGCTACAAGCCAATAAGTCATTTTAATGCTAATTTGGAAAGAATATAAAATTAAATTTCATATAATTGAACAATTTTGACTTATACAAGGTCATTATCAATATCACAACATATCGATAATTACGAGTACAATTAAAATCGTATAAAAAATAAAATTCTAATAATATCTACAGCCATATGGTAAAAATTCTAATAATATCTATAGCCATATGTTAAAATATTATTAATATAAAATTCGAGGCAGTATTATATATGTTTTATATTAATAACGTTTAACATGATTTTGGATTTATTAGAATTTTTATGCTGCCCTAACTGTTACTACTTGCAATTACCGATTTTTTGTAACGTTAATTATGACCTTGCATACAAGTCGAAATGTTTGTTCAATTATATGAAAATTAGTTTTATATTATTTCTGTGAGTGGTTTAACATTAAAATAACTTCATAGCCCCTTTTTTTAATTACTTGATTTGTAAACATTTAACAGTTGTGTGCAATTGAAAGTAATTTTCGGTTTATGTTAAAAGAAGTAATAGGTATATACTAGGTGTATAAGCTTAAATCCGCTGTTTTTTAGTCAGAAAAATATATTTTTTTTCCTAGGAAGCAAAAACAAATTTATTCAAAGTACTTGCCCTTGCTATATATTTTTCCCATCTTTCGGGCAATTTGTGTATACCACGCCAAAAAAATTCCTCATCTTTCAAGGCAAACTACTCAAGCCATTTTCGGACGTCTTCGTAAGAATCGAAGTGCCGCTCAGCGAGCGCGTGGCCATCGACGAAAACAGGTGATAGAAGGTGCCAGGTCTGGTGAGTAAGCGGGATGGGGTAGCACTTCCCAGTTGAGTGTCTCCAAGTAGTTTTGGACCATTGTTGACGTGTGCGATGGTGCGTTGTAGTGGAGGAAAATCAGCTTCTCATGTCTTTTCCGATATGCGGTCTTTTTTCACGCAGAGCACGGTGCAATTTAATCAATTGTTGGTGGTAGCGGTGAGTATTAACAGTTTCACCAGGTTTTAACAGCTCATAGTAGATACCCTCCTGATCCCACCAAACGCACAGCATTGTCTTCCGTCCGAAGCGATTTGATCTTGAGGAAGATATTGATGGTTGAGCGGGATCAATCCAAAATTTCTAGCGTTTAGGATTCTGAAAATAGATCCACTTTTCATCGCCTGTCACAATCCGATGCAGGAACGACTTTCTTTTTTGTCTGGTAAACAGAATTTGGCATGTGTTTTGGCGTCGCTCCATCTGCTTATTGTTCAGTTCATGTGGCACCCATTTTCCGATCTTTTGAACCTTCCCCATAGCATGTAGCCGCATGGAAATGGCTGCTTGAAAAACACCCAATTGCTCGGCAAGCATTTTTTGCGATTGGGTATCGTCCTCGTCCAAAAGAGCCTGCAACAGTCCTCAACTTTCCTGGGCCGATTTTCACGCTTCTTGTCACTCAGGTCAAAATTGTCGTCATTGAACCGACGAAACCAATCTCTGCACGTTTCCGAAAGCATTGTCGCCATAAGCCTCCACAAGCATTCGATGCGATTCGGCAGCCGATTTCTTCAAATTGAAACAGAAAAGCAAAACTTCCCGCAAATGCTTTTTTTTTTTTTAGCAAAAAACTAGACATGATTACGAAAGAAAATATATATGTTGTTGTATGAAATTGCTGATGATGTGCACTGGTTAATGTTGACAGATATCAAACACATAAAAAAAAGTGTGTTGTGTGCCCAGGGTAGCTTTGTACGCTCACTAATGCCTATGAGCAAACAGCGAATTTAAGCTTATACACCTGATATATTTATTACTTCTTTTAATATAAACAGAAAATTATTTTTAATTGCACATATCCATTGAATTAATTTTGCCTCACAAAATCCTATTTTTATGCACTGGAAATACAAATAATATAATACATATATCGATTTTCAAATAGCTAAAATGTTGCCAGACAAGATGGCTGACCCTCCCCTCCCTCGTCGCGCGGATATCGGTCCTCTTGCCCGTAGCTTTACGCTCCATCCACATATTCATATGTCCATGCATCTTTGATATTAGAGTTTTCCAAAATGAAGTGTTCACGCGTATATAAATAAATAAGTTCTCTAATAGCGCCATCTGAATTTCTTTCTCAGTTACTCTTTATTGTTTTGCTCTCTCTCTCTCTCTCTCCTTGATTTGTACATCAAAGTATATTTTTTAATCTAAATGTAATAAAACTAAAAGAAAAAGATTTATTAATTGTAATGCATTGCAAAATAAAAAAAAATACAAAATAAGAAAATATAAAATTATATAAATGTTGTGTGATACAAATATTATACTAAAATAATATATTATACTAAAATAAAAATATTTTAATTAATTGACTGCGGCACACGATGCTTGTTTTGCTGCTAGATAACTTGTGTTTTAGTAAATTATTTTAGTAAATTATTAGAATTGCATCACATAGAACGCAGATTTCTAGTTAAAATGAAAGCAATCCAGCAATTATATCACTCAGTATTTAAGCGAGACTGAAATTGGTGTTTGCAGGTATGTATGTGCGTGTATGTATGTATGTGTATATGATTTCAGTTAATGGTTTCCCTCTCATTGCATTGTTGTTTTATTTCCGATATTGTGGGCTTTGTAACAATTTTGCTGATGCCTAATCATTTGCAAGTTACTATTGTATTGTATTTTATTTTACGTTATGTCTACTATAGTCTATTGTATCATATTTTATATCTAATATTCTGTTAACATCCCAGCAAACGAGAATAGATTAAAATGGATTGAAATTTTTTTCTATCCGAATGCATATTTTAAACAATACTTTTTTTTATTTAATTAGATTCAATTAGATTCAATTGGATGCAATTGGATTGAAAAACTGCATTTTCTATTCAAAATTTTGAATTGAACAGTATTCACAATGTGTGTGTTGTGTATAGAAAAAGCTAATATTATTTTTAGATTGAAAGACATAGAGATATGCTTCATGCAATTCCTATAAATGAATAAAAATGCATTCAGGATTGAAAGCATTCAGGATGAAAAGCATTCATTTGTGAATCAATATTTCTGAAAATCTGAATCCATGTCAATTCATTTAAATTCATTCTCATTTGCTGGAATGTAATCTTTCTCATAAAACTTCGCAATAAACTAAATTAAACTAATTAAACTAAATTAATCATGATTTCTTTTCTTCTATCTCTTTCTCTGATCCGTATTTCAGCTACTCGAACATTTAAATGGCCTTGAGAATGGAAAGAAAACGAAAGAAAAAGAAAGAAGTGAGATAGAAGAGATTTAGATGGCATTACTGGGCAACTTACTTATTTCACGCATGCGACCTTTCTTTTGGACAAAATCAGGAGAGTTGCGCTACTGTAAATTGTGGCAGTAATATGTCATGGTGTGATTGCAGTAACTGAGAAACTGTGGATTCTCTGCTTTGATTGGAATTGGTGCCATCAAAAACATGGCCACTGATGCGCAAATAAATATGCGCGGCTAAATAGAAACTGGGATCTTGTCCCTACTGTATATTTTTATACTGTGACGCAGTTCTGGGAGCAGAGCAAGACTTCCGAGCGGCGCAGATGGCATACATCCCTGCGTAAACGAATGACAAACTGCACTGCAGGTAGAATGAATGAACGACATCTGCGGCAGTAACTGCATAAATGAATGCATCCACCATATTGTTCTACCATGCTTTTCCCTCTTTTATTCTTCTTTCACCTCTGTTCTCTTCATGTTTTTATCTTTTTTGTCTTATTTTATTCTATTCTTTTTTAGGTTTTATTTTTAATTATATATTAACTAAAATTTGGCTCTGTCCCAGTGAAGGCTACAATGCCTCTTTTTACGGTGGCTCTATCAAGAATAATACTTCGGGAGCAGCAAACATGGAAGGTATACTTGAGCCTTGTACCGATAGTTGGCGGCGTAGCTGTAGCGACACTAACAGAGCTTAGTTTCAACATGATTGGCTTGATAAGCGCTTTAGCGTCCACTATGGCGTTTTCTTTGCAAAATATTTATTCAAAAAAGGTATAATGAAAAAAAATTATTTCTCATTTACCATAACTACATTTATTTCTGTTTTTAATCTTGTAATTTTTGATCTAGGTGTTACATGACACAGGCATACATCACTTGCGGCTGCTACATATACTTGGTCGTCTAGCTCTATTTATGTTCTCACCAATTTGGATTATGTATGATTTACACAATTTGATGTACGAACCGATGTTAAAACCATCCGTAGAGATAAGCTATTATGTATTAGGACTATTATTTCTAGATGGTATACTTAATTGGTTTCAAAATATTATTGCATTTTCCGTGCTATCTATTGTGACGCCTCTGACATATGCGGTAGCGAGTGCTAGCAAACGTATATTTGTGATAGGAGTGACATTATTCGTACTTGGCAATCCAGTTACATGGCTTAACATATTTGGTATGACTATGGCCATATTAGGAGTATTATGTTACAATAAGGCTAAGTATGATCAAAGAATAGAGAAAGAAAAGAAGACAATTCTTCCGAATTATTATGAAACAATTCAAAATGGTAATAGCAGTTCCTTCTTGGTTAATGGATTTGCCAGCAAACATCAATCATTTGCAGTCTAGTCTCAATTGATAATTTTATTTTAACAAGTTCATATGAGTTTCTACATCAGAAAAAAGTTTAATTCTTTTTTCTGTAAGTGTAAATTAATTTTCATAAGTTATTATATATTATAAATTGTTACAATTATGGTAGAAGAAATTTTTATTTTCTTCCATGATTACAATGGTCAAATATAATCGATCAAATTCAGAAAAGAAACTCATAAATTACTTCTAATATTACACACACACACACACACACACACACACACACAGGATTTATTGTTTTAATTAACGCACTATCTAAATTATCTCTTAAATAGTGCATTTTAGAGAAAAATGTTTCAGACAAAAGTTGAGTAGTTTGGAGAGGGACATAAGATGGTATTATTGGTTTGACCTCGGAAAGTTGTTTGAAGGGCATAGAAAAGTCATCAATTCTTAAATGGAATTCCATATTTCATTGCATATTCTTGTAGTTTGCCTCCAGAACTTTCCAAAACACTACAATGAAATTATTTTCATTAAGTACTTTTCGAGTTATAAGGTACAGTATTGCCGACATTAACATTATCCAAGGTATCGAACCGTCGGTTAAAATCTCTTGAATGTTATTCAGGATCATAACATTTGTCAAGATCAAAATCATTGGAAGTTGTACCTCTTATTTGAATTTTTATGTAGAAATGTAATTTTTAGTGCAAAAATTAAAATATGAGGAACAACCTTCAATGACCTTGATCTTGATAAATGTTATCCACATTATGATTCTAAACAACATTTAAGAGGTTTTAATTGTCAGTCGGATACCTTGGGTAATTCCATGAGCTATTAAGATCGTCAACCCTGGGAAAATTTTCAGCGGTATAAAAAGGGCTTTAAGGTCCGAAGGTAATTGAAGAACACTGACATTATCGACAGTTGATATAATTTGCTATTATTAATAGCGATTTTGGCTGGGATGCACTAGACACATAAATGTTACACACAATTGCCGAAAAAATGTATTAAAATCAGATTAAACCGTACAATCCCCAATATATTTTATTGTAATAAAACGTTAATAAAACTGTTAATAAAACGTGTTTTAATAATTTTCATTTCATTTCTGCACTCATAGTGATTTCAGCTGGGACGTACCGACTGCACATTTCGGGTGTTGGTGCAACTGATGTGTCTGATTGATTGAATAGTGCAGTTCCTCGCTAGTGTCACATGTTGGTCTGGATTCGGTACACTGCACGAGTGTACACAAAGTGGCCCCGACAAATTTGTTGAGGCTAGTTGGTGTAATTGTCGGGCTTGGTGCTTTCATGAAACATTGAAAAGTAGCGTGTGTGATCACATGATATTAATTTTGTCGCTAGTGTCTGATTTCGTGTGTGATCCACTTGATGCTACAAATGCTTCGAACTTTTATTTGACTAATCGAAAAAAAGAATTTTACCTGACCAATCAAAAAATGTTTGAAGCATTCGTAGCATCAAGTGGACCGTAGCCGGGCATAGGCCCTGCGCATAATGAAGAAAATATTAGGAATAGGAAATAAATATTACGATTTTAACTTACCGTGTATTGCGGTATCTGATAGATTGAAATTTTAATATTTATTCCTGTTTCTAATATTTGATATATTGTGCGCAGACCCATAGCCTTCGTCTGACGCTGAAAATTGATAGGTTTGTTCGCGTCGCATACTCCATGGATCAATTAAGAGCACGCTCCATTTGCCTCACCTCAGAAGGTGGTACGATTAGGGTATGTTATGTACGCATGCGTAATGGTTGAAAACGTATCGAAAAAAATATTTCAGATTCATTTTGTATAAAAACGCATTTACCAGGTATGTAAATATAAAACCGGAATTTTTTATAGAAAATACACGTTTTATAGAAAATACGTTTATTGCATGAAAATGATAAAAAATATTTTATTCGAAGTATTGCCCATCGGTAGCTATACATTTTTTTCCACCTGTTTGACAATTTGTGGATGCCACGCCAAAAAAATTGTTGCTCTTTGGAGCCAAACCAATTATCTAGCCATTTTCGTACATCTTGTAAGAAGTGAAGCGCTGAGCAAGTGCGTGTTCCATCGATGCAAATAAGTGGTAATCGGACGGAGCCAAGTCTGGTGAGTAAGCCGCATGCGAAAGTATTTCCCAACCAAATGCCTCAATCGTTTCCTTGATCAGTTTTGCTGTGTGATGGTGCATTATCATGAAGCAAAATCACTTTGTGTTGCTTTTTTTGATATTCCGTCCGGTCGTTTTTCACACAAAGCTTGATTCAAATTGATCATTTGTTGTTGGTAGCGTTCAGTATTAACGGTTTCGCCAGGTTTTAGCAGCTCATAATAGATCACACCTTTCTGATCCCACCAAACACAGAGCATTGTCTTCCGTCCATAGCGATTTAGTCTTGCAATCGATGTCGATGATTCGCCTGGAGTTATCCATGATCTTTTACGCTTAGGATTCTCAAAATATCCATTTTTCATCGCCAAACAATTCGATGGAGAAATGACTTTCTTTTGTACCTGGCGAGCAGCATTTTGCAAGTGGTTTTTCGGTTTTCCTGCTGTCTTTCATTCAGTTCATGTAGAACCCATTTTCCCATGGATTTCAAATGTATGGAGATGGCTTTTCTCTCACATTGACATTCAATTGATCCGCGAGTTGTTGTTGAGTTTGAGCATCATCCTCATCCAACAATGCTTACAATTCGCTGTCTTCAAACTTTTTCGGTTTTCCATCGTTTCTCATGTCAAAATCGCCATTTTTAAATTTTTTAAACCACTCAAAGCACTGTGATTTACCAAGAGCATGCTCACCGTAAGCTTCGATAAGCATTCGATGCGATTCTGCAGCAGTTTTCTTTAAATGGTAATAGAAAATCAATGCTGTCCACAAATCGTAATTTCCAGGCACAAAATTCGACATGTTCAACGCTATTACAAACTATACTGTTGTATGAAACTTGTATTGTTGTGAGTTGAAAAACTTCGTCAGATGTCAGAACAAGGAAATGGCGTCAATGGCGCCGTCTGACGGCAACTACAGCTGTGGCCATCTATTGGTAAATTCCGGTTTCATATTTACATACCTGGTAATAAATGCGTTTTTGATATAAATATGGAATATAA